GAGCGTTCATTGGGGACATGGGGAAGATCGTGCAAGGAAGGGACGGGATACCATAGGGGTTCATAGGCCCAGCTAGCGGGTATCTCAGACAGCAGGGCAAATTAGCAATGTGCTGCCGAAGACCTGTTTTCCATTCAGAACCCACAGGAACGACAGTAACAATGAAAAAGAAATAATAGCATTCAGACCGTTATGCTGACCCTGGTAAAAGAAACGCTTTACCGGCAATTTATTTCAGGGAATAAGTATCACAGCGACCGTTGAATTTTCCAGTGGGTAATATTCCACCGTTCATGCCTGATTCATAGTCAAAGAAACACCTTGGGAAAATTATTTTAAAAACTGGTGGCTTTATTGGTATAAGGATAAAACTTGGGCACTGCGGTAGAGTATGACCCCATTATGGATAAAATCTTATTTTGATAAAATCACAGGGCCGTACAGTAATATTTACTAATGGCGTTTCGAGGACAAATTATTGCTCATAATCATATCAAGGCATTCACACAAATCTCTTGCTTCATTTGTATATACGGGTAAAAAGTGATCAGACATTTGAAAGAAAGAAATGTAAGATAAAGCACATTCATAAATAATATAAGAATTATCAATAAAATACGACAGAATAAGAAATAAGGTGTTTTTACGGAAAAACACATAACTTGTTTCATGGGGTTTATGTTCTCTTTTTCACTGAAACCTGTAATTTGAAATTAAGATACGTATCTATGTATGGAATTCAGAACTCTTATGTAAGACAGTGAAAAAATACTGTCTTTTTTTATCAAAACATCAAACATCCACGGCCTAACTAATACAGCTTCCTGAAACTGTTTTTTGGTCATCAAACAGTTCAAAAACAAGACATTTATTGCCTCAGCTAAGTGTTCGTCTGAGGTTTGTAAGTACATAAGATTCAATGGCGTGATTAAAAGGTAGGAGTGGTCATTTTAGTGTAACCATACCAGGAAATCACAAGTCCCGAGTCAGGGATATGGATTAATTAATGGATGACAAAAAGAAAAGGCGGAGTGGCGTGGAGAGTCTCTTATGGGGTTTTGGAGCATTATTGAAAGACCTCTAAATAAAGAGGAAACAAGTGGCATTCGCCTATTGCAGCATTCCACTGGACACCACGACATTTCATGAGATCAAAGAAGTTAGTCAAATCATTCGGACCTTCGAAAGCCAACTTCTTCATCTGTGCGGATTAAGGCATAGGGTTCATTATTGGATTCTCAGAAGACGAGAGATTGATAGCCAAGCCGGTGACACAGCAGTATAATGCTCGCTGACCACGCATGTGGTCCGGGTTTCGATCCCTGGCCGACGCACTCCTTTACCTCGCTAAGCCAGTAATAAAGCTAGTAAAGAGGAAAGGTTGGACATGAAACTAGGAACTCCATCCTGTAAAAATAAACGCTGCTTAAGAGACTTCAAGCTACAAGCTAGAAGCCCCATGTTCCACTGGGAACGTGAAGAAATGAAAACATACACTTTTCAGGAAACATTAGTGTTATATTCGCCCTTCGCTAGCTGAGGTGGAGTTAAGAGCAGCGTGTCCACCAGGTTAGGTGCGTCAGGCCAAAGAGCAGGTAATGTCAACAAAGTTCACATCTATCAGGATCGATGGCCACACAGAGGTCGTGGTCGTCACTTCTTGTTGAATGCAACCAGAAAAGAGCTTGAATTCGTTAAAGCCTAGATAACTGGTATCCTAGAACATCATCACAAAATCACAGAATTTTTCATGGTCTGAACACATCTAGATACGGTCCTGGACAGTTTGAAGTCAAACGTTTACCGGAAATTTTCCAAAAAGGGAATCAACGCCAGATAGTCGTCAAAAATGCTGTCAATGTAGTTGAAGATTGAACGATCAATTCATGGTTGTTTGCTCAAAACCAACTTCCCCAATTTTCGCGGAGACATCAATCCACCAGTCATCGTCTCATCGGTCGCTGTTCAGAAAGAAGTCAGGAGGCAACCGTCAGAAACCTTAGTCGTAAAGTTGGCTATATGTCGGTGTTACAATAAAGAATTCTCGCGTGGCAAATCGGTGTTTTGGTTTTTGCGTCCGTTATTACTAAGCGTTTCTGAGAAACTTCAAGGAACAGCGTGAGGCCCAGCGTAGCAAGAGCTGGGGATTGACAGTTTACGAGACGTGGCTGACAAATGCCATGTAATTCTGTACGAAAGTGAATAAGGTATGCTTTATATAAAGAACGTTTCTCGTCTGGATACTCCACGACTCAATGAAGGGGTCGCTGTTCTTCGTGGTCTACATAACTGATCTACTGAATAACACAAGCCCTCCCATCCTCTTTTGTGCTGACAGTAAATAGTTGTGAATGACGATGAAAGTATGCCCTAGTTGAGATAAAACCTAATCACTCGTCGGAATAAGGATACCATAAACGGGCTGATATTTAATGTGAATAGATATATTGTAACGTCTACCCACAGTATAGTTACCCAGAAAGTCTCACCCTGTTACTGCAGAAATAATCTTTCCAAGAAGTCGGTAAAAAGGCGTAGAAACAGCTGAATTCGTAGCAGCTCCCACTCTCATTCTTAGGTAGTGAGGGACGTTAGTTCTATACGCTTGAAGACGCTTTAGGACAGTGGATCGGTCCATTTAGAAAACTCTGACAATACGGTACAATTATCTCACCAGCAATAAGTGAGCTCAACGAGGATGGTTTGGCGTACGGCAGTTGGTGTGAAGTGTATTATTTATCCAAAACACTCAGGATAGTACCATTTAAATGAGAAACTGGTGCCAACAACTCGGATGTCTAAACTGAAGCCAGGTAAACCATCTGAACCCGATTGACCGCACCCTAAACCGTTAATTTCTTTGGCGGATATAATATATGCTCCACTTACGGAGATTTTCCAGATGTCTCTGACCTAGGCTAAGCTACCCAGGGACTAGGAGGATGCCATTATAAACCCTACCCTCAAAGAGGGGGAATGGCAACTGGTATCTAACTACCGGCCGGTAAGTCTGAAATGTATTGTAGCAAAGGGAATGCAAACTATTACAAGGGACCAGCTTTTAGCTCATTTTGAAAAACATGGCTTGCTGACTGTGGAACAGCATGGGTTCCTACAAGGACGGTCCTGCCTGACTAACCTACTATTGGCTAGGGAAGACTGAGTTGAGGCCAGAGATAAAAAACATCTGTTGGACGTGGTTTTTATTGATCTTAGCCAGGGATTCAACAAAGTATCCCATTTAGGTCTCTTTAGTAAACTTAAAGTTTTCGGACTAGACCAATGTCTATGTGAGTGGTTTAGAGATTACCTAATGGATAGAGGGCAGAAGGTTAGGGTTAACAATGTACTATCAGGACAGAAAGCAGTATCCAGTGGAGTGCCCCAGGGAACTGTATTGGGCCCCTTGCTACTCCTATTATATGTTAACGAATTACCGAGGATTTTTACTTCATCTTCATTATTATTTCCAGATGACTTTAAGATCTGGAAAACTGTGAATAATAACGACGGTAGGTCGGCCCTACAAACTGATCTAGGTAGGTTAGCTAAGTGGTTGAACCTGTGGATTTTGGAAATTAATTCCAGGAAAAGCGCGGTAATGCATTTTGGTCAGAAGTATTATACATTGTACTCCCTAGGGGACACAGAACTACCTGATTTTAACGGCCTAAAGGACCTACGAATCATCGTCAGCAATGATTTGAAAACAACTGCGAATCGCAATGCAGCCGCAGCTAAGACTTTTCGAATGCTATGTGCACTTTAAAAGGCTCTCAAACGATTAGAAGAGGGTATGTTCCAAATACTCTACGCAACAAATGTCAGCCCGCAACCCGATAGAATAATACATACAAGCGGCGAGCCCATGCCTCAAAAAGGAGGCACATATCCTGGAAAGAGTACAGAGAGTAGGAACGAAATCAGTTAGTGGTATCTCACACCTTCTTTATGATAAGAGGATGGAGCATTTAAATCTCTTCTTAATACCATACCGAAGAAAGGGAGGCGAATTAATTTAGCATACCGTATACTTAAAGGCGATTTAGGCACCGACCTTTTTAACCTTTTCTCCCCTTCTAGGATACATTTACAGGATCACCGCAAATGGTGCTCAAACCGAGGACGATTAAAGTACGTGCAGCATTTAGATTCTCTCACAGAGTGGTCAACGAATGGAAGTCCTTAACTGACTCAGCATTATCAGCTCCAAAGAGAAGTTAGATCGCTGCAGAGATATATTTTGCAAGGATTAACACAGGCCACAAGAGCCTTCTATCCTCATCTATTATTATTATCTCTTTTCTTTTGACGATGATACTGGAGGAATAACTGGTGAAAGGATCAACTCCATTCACAGTAGTGACAGTCTTAACACAGCTCATACTACCACATATAATTAATCCCAGCACTACTCCTTTGGGAGTCAACCAGAGCTCCGACAGTAGAGTGGCGGGACGAGCAACGCAGAAGTTTGCCGAAGATCAGGAACCCATACCTCGCAATCAAGAGGCGAGCACAAAGAAATCAAATTGGTTTATACTAGCTAGTAAAAACGATATTGGATATGTTATATGAATCTGAATCTGAAACTGGTCTAGGCAAGTTCGTCAAACAGGTGTTAGATCTATTGAAAAATTAAGATTTAGCAGTTTAAAATGGAGTCTGTATGGCAAAAATACGAGAATAGGGTCAAGAATATATACCAGCAGGTTAACGCCAGGCATTGAAATATTTAACCACGTGTTAGTGTGAGCCCATTCATTTTTAAACGCTACTTGCTATCCTGACCTATTTTCAGGACGGATCGACTTTGCTGGAGAGGTGTGGGTCTCGGCACTTGTTATGACTCGGGGGGAGACGTGGAGTGAATTCTGTTCAGTCGCGAGTACTAGACTGTCGATCGAAGCTCTCCAGCTTTTCAAGGCACATCTGAATGATAATCGCAATGATGACAAACCGGTTGTGGTTCGGAGTACTTGGATATAATATTTAGAAAAATGCGACGCAAATTCGAGACTTCCTTATCTCCCTGCTATTTCGTGAATGGTAAAAAACCCGAAAAACCTATCTTAGAGAAAGGTAAGTTATAATTTTGCAGTATGTTTTAAAGTTATAGTTATAACCCAAACTATATTTATGTGCATAAATATTGTCACGCATATCACTGTTTTACTAGTTTACCCAGTGTTTGAAGATACAGAAATCGTTTAACCATACCTAAGATGCTTACTTACTAAGAGACTGGCACTTATCATACGCAATATGTGCGTATATATGGTATCACTAATGGGGTGTTAGTCTGGTACCGTGCGAAAATCGCTAAAAACTTGGGGTTTTTCTGTCACTGGTCAGTAGTGTAATGTATTTCTTGAATGAAACCTACGACTCAAATATATTTTCTATGAATTGTAAAGTCTGACTTGTTTCTAGCCAGTCTTTTGCAACGAGGTGCTTTTTACGGCATTTTTTTCAAAAAGTATTACTGAAACAAATAGAATAATGTTAGAAGAAATCCATCATGTTTTGACGTTATTAGTTTCTCCGTCTTTAAGCTCATGGTTACTTGCATACTCTAACATACTTAGATTATATGTATCGTTTTTAAGTGGATAGTTCAATGTGATAAATCTTTCTCTCCTCGGCGAGATCAGCCTAAAACAATGGGTGGAGTTCCTTTCAAGCCTCAAGGTTAGTCTTACTTCTTAGTAGAACAGTTTTATTAATATTAATTTTGTGAAAAATAATATTGTCAGTATTCTGTATGAAATGATATTTTATTATGGGATTATGCTGTGCCGCAGTGCCTATTTATATTCATAGCGGTGATGCCTGTTTCTCTAAATAGCGTTTCATATTCTTAAATGGGCTAGGAATTCCCCTTTTTTAAGAGCTGTGGATTCCACTTATTTATCAGAAATCTAGCATTCCGTTTTGTACATAATTAGTTACTTAGCTGAAGTTTCCTGAAACGTATATTAAATGCCATTGTTTAAATAATGAAGATATGCATAGACACAACGGTTTTTGAGAAGCATTCAGGTTATGTTTCTCTTTTATCACATATAGGAAAACATTTTCATGTGAAGCACATAAATCAATACTAGAAGTAATTTCCGATATCTTGAGTGTAACATGTCTTCAGTGATTTTTGCCATTGAAATTCATCAATTTTAGATCGTCTAGGAGTGTATGTATAGTAAATCGAACAGTCTCACTACTATTTAGACTGAAACATTTTGTCTGTCTGTCTGGATTCAACAGAGAACTTGGCACCGAAGTGCACCAGTTCGAGTTGCCACGTTCCAAATAGCACACAAAGGTAGACAAGAAGATGAGTGAAGAAAATCAAGTGTTTGACAGATATAAGAGCGAAACAGAATGGGTAATGGTAGAAAGGAATACGAAAGACTACAGAGACTGAATACATCTGCGCCATTGACAACGATTTTGAGCCATGTCACCTACTGTCTCCAGCCATTGATTCCTAGAGTCCCGAGGGCCCCAACCCGGGAGTCTGCATCTCCCTGCCTGACTCAGTTTAACTGTCAAGGATTTCATGGGTTGATGCCATGTTTTTGTTTGGTCACCACTTACTCTTTTTCAACTTGAACTTATATCAGCTAGTTATACCCGTCGGAGGAGGGGCCGATGGTTAAGCATGCGCAGCACGTGACCTAGCCATCTCAATCTATGTAACTTTATAGCCTCGTCGATTGATTTTCCCTCTTTGCCCAACACTCTACGCCTAACGTCAACATTACTTACCTTATAATACCACCTAACGTGAGAAAGAGATCGCAGACATCTATGATCGAAAGCAGTCAACCTTTTCATGTCTTCAACGCGTATTGGCCATGTTTCAGAGCCATAGAGAAGGACGGAGCGAACTGATGAGCAGTACACACGTCTCTTGGTTGATAACCGGATGTCACGCCTACGCCAGAGATGGTGTAAGTCAGCGAAAGCAGCTCGAGCTCTTCGGATCCGTGCTGAGATTTCGTCGCCAAAGAGTCCGTTGGTGCTGATACAACTTCCCAAGTAGGTGAAGTGGTCAACATGTTCTATCACTTCACTCCCTATCACTAAGTTAGGGATTGACGGGGTCCAGTCCTGTAGCAGCATCTTACATTTTGCAGGGGCGAATCGCATGCCAAACATACGAAGATTGCTGCTCAAGGTGTTCAGAAGACTCTGCATTTTGTCAGCATCCTCCCCTAACAGGACTATGTCATCTGCATATTCTAAGTCCATTAGATTATTCCCTGGTAACAGGTCGATTCCTAAGTCACTACGTTCAGTTAAGGATACTTCCATTAGCATTTCTATGATGAAATTAAACAGAAATGGGGGAAGTGGACATCCCTGTCGGATTATTTGGTTCTTCCTACTGTATGAAGAACTGAACCCTGAATAGGGATAAAAGATATTTGATTCGTAAAATGGTTCCTTGTGTGCACTTTTTTCTGTTTTAAAATTATGTTCAGCAAACGTATAAGAATACCTTCGCGACTTGTCTCTGTGTGCTGCAAATAAAATCATTCACTTGGGGGTTAGTGAAGATGATGCAATTTTGGAGGGTATTCAGCCACTTACCGCATGGAGTCCAGAAATACTACCCGAAAATATTTGACAATTATTAAACTGAACCTGTACGTATTTCTGGTTTTTTAGTTACCGTTTGATATAACCAAAATGCAGTTAGTATTATTTACCGTGTTTTTAACAATATTCACATGCGTAAAATATACTGTGCAGTTGTGATCAAAACAATCGACAGCTGCTATGCTTAGAATTGAGCACAACATGGTTAATTCGTCGACAAACAACAAGCATGAGGATTTGTTCACAGAGGATATCAATGATGTAGAAATTAACCATCTTGTACACTGGTCCATTTTTGTTGTGTAGTGCACTCTTCATATGGTATCACTTGTCTGCCGTATCATAAGTTAACATGGGCTGATGCTAGGTGCTCTTCATGAATTGACATCATTAAGATAAGCAGATCGGTCACTCAACTCCTTTGTTATTCAAAGTGTACTATAATTCTTACAGAGTTTTCAAAATCATGACATGGTAACTGACGTTACGCTACTTACCTTGGGTTTACCATGACAACTGAACGTTAGGACAAATTCACCTTGTTTTGTTTCACTTTGACGAACAAGGAATACACCATCAGTTGTTGATAAAGCAGGCTGTACAGAAGGTAAATCAGTATTATTTTTCTCTGAATTGGAATTAATTCGATTACATTCAGGAGAACTTAATTGTCGTCGTGTAGTTCCGTGTTCGAATTCGGATAGTTGACCTAGCACATAGCTAGCAGCTCGAACACGTGAAAGTGTGCCATGATACCACGGGTACACAGACAGTTGTTGACCAATTACATCTTCAAAACCGGCAGCCAATGAAGAGACGCGTGCCATGTTGCTTGAAGCATTGAGGACGGAGAATGCCCCACTTCGTAAAGTGTCGACTTTTGATGAGTTAGTTTGTTCAATAAAAATACTATTTGTGAGGCTACAAAGCCTGTTATTTTTATCTGGTCTAACGGCAGGGTGTAATGGTGTTGAATGAGAAGCTGGTGATGCATGTCGGAATCCAGGAACAAGAGTGGCAGGTCGTGAAGGAGTAGGGCAAATGACCACTAAGAAAAATAAATAGTAATACAGTAGTTGGATTTTTCTGATCACATAATTTTTTGGTACATTTCCTACTGTACATTAAACTAACATGGTGCATGTAAGAAAATGTTGCAGAAACTAATTAACGCAACTAAAGAATGGTTAAGGAAAATAAAAAACTCAATAGGTCTTTGGCATAAATTTGAAGGAGAAAGTACACGAAGAGTACGACTCAACCAGTGGTGTCCGACAGGGATGCCCACTTTCCCCATTTCTGTTTAACTTCATCATAGAAATGCTAATGGAAGTATCCTTAACTGAACGTAGTGACTTAGGAATCGACCTGTTACCAGGGAATAATCTAATGGACTTAGAATATGCAGATGACATAGTCCTGTTAGGGGAGGATGCTGACAAAATGCAGAGTCTTCTGAACACCTTGAGCAGCAATCTTCGTATGTTCGGCATGCGATTCGCCCCTGCAAAATGTAAGATGCTGCTACAGGACTGGACCCCGTCAATCCCTAACTTAGTGATAGGGAGTGAAGTGATAGAACATGTTGACCACTTCACCTACTTGGGAAGTTGTATCAGCACCAACGGACTCTTTGGCGACGAAATCTCAGCACGGATCCGAAGAGCTCGAGCTGCTTTCGCTGACTTACACCATCTCTGGCGTAGGCGTGACATCCGGTTATCAACCAAGAGACGTGTGTACTGCTCATCAGTTCGCTCCGTCCTTCTCTATGGCTCTGAAACATGGCCAATACGCGTTGAAGACATGAAAAGGTTGACTGCTTTCGATCATAGATGTCTGCGATCTCTTTCTCACGTTAGGTGGTATTATAAGGTAAGTAATGTTGACGTTAGGCGTAGAGTGTTGGGCAAAGAGGGAAAATCAATCGACGAGGCTATAAAGTTACATAGATTGAGATGGCTAGGTCACGTGCTGCGCATGCTTAACCATCGGCCCCTCCTCCGACGGGTATAACTAGCTGATATAAGTTCAAGTTGAAAAAGAGTAAGTGGTGACCAAACAAAAACATGGCATCAACCCATGAAATCCTTGACAGTTAAACTGAGTCAGGCAGGGAGATGCAGACTCCCGGGTTGGGGCCCTCGGGACTCTAGGAATCAATGGCTGGAGACAGTAGGTGACATGGCTCAAAATCGTTGTCAATGGCGCAGATGTATTCAGTCTCTGTAGTCTTTCATATTCCTTTCTACAATTACCCATTCTGTTTCACTCTTATACTTGTCAGACTGTATTGATTCTCTTCACTCATCTTCTTGTTTACCTTGTGTGCCAATTGGAACGTGGCAACTCGAACTGGTGCACTTCGGTGCCAAGTTCTCTGTTGAATCCAGACAGACAGAGTACGACTGGCGAATACATTCCAAAGAACTCATAATAAAATCTGCTGAAAAGGATATTGAACTGAGACTACAGAT